AAGGAGGAGGAGAAGGAGGAGCAGCAGCAGGAGCAGGAGAAGGAGGAGGAAGAGGAGGAGGCAGCCGACGCCGAAAACACCCGTTACCGACGCAAAAAACACCAACCGTCCCAGAAAACACTGTTTGCCGACGCGACAAACCCCGGGGCCGTCGCAATAAACACCGGCCAACCGACGCAGAAAACACCGTTCCAGCACCGACGCAAAAAACACCGGTACATGTGCACCGTCGCAAAAAACACCGTTTACCGACGCAATAAACCCGGAGCCCGTAATGGGTTTTAGCGCGTCCTTGTCGCTTTCGGCATTGGTTCGTTCGGTCCAGACTGGCTTCCAATTCGGCGGACAACGCTTCAGTTTCGGTCCGAGAGTCTTTGTTCATCAAATTGGCCATCTCCCAGGAAAGCAATACTTCCTTTGAAAGCTTTGATCCAGAATCCAGGCTTTGCCCTTAGGTGACCAGCTGATTTACTTCCACTTTGGCCATGTGCCAGTTACAACTCCTGGGCGTTTCACCAGGACTTTTCGGAGCTGGCACTGGCGTTGGCACGTTTGGGTTTGGGAAGCGGCTTTCTGGAGAGTGGCGATTTGGAAGCTCGAGCCCTGGCGGAACGAACCGCTTCTACGTCACGTCGTGAACCGTGTGGCCGGCCGCGTTGGGAAGGACCGGCCCAGGCCGCCCAGGGTGTCATGTTCGGTGAATTAGGCTCCCTGAGTATGCCAGGAGCCGGCTGAAAAAGCACGGCAATAGACCATAATAGACCCATGCCATCAAATGCATCAAAAGCATCACCCCAATAACCAAAAAGTGTTGAATCATCGCAACCCACACTGACACTATACATATCTATACATTGTACAGTACTTTATTTTTTTTTGGGGGGGGGTTGATGGTCGGCCCACCCGAAGGAGACTATTTGCATTAATTACTTGTCTCCAAATTGTCACCCAGTCCTTTTCCTTCCCCAGCAATGTTCTTCCAACCTTGCTTCCTCCCCATCAGATCATTAAGCAGGTTTGAGCATTCAGGAGACTCGTCATATCTCGTCATCCTCTCCAGCCAGCATGCAGCTTTTGAAGAAACTGAGGTTTGGCAAGTGCATTTCACCCCGCCAGCCTTCCGAAGTTGGCTTGGGCCATGGCAGCACTGGAGGCCTCTGAAATCGCGTGGTCCTTATTGTCTCTCCAGCGACCTGGCCGAGCTGAGAATTTGTGGCTGTTTTGCCCCCTGGCAAAGGAGGACACAGAAATAATCCAGCTCAAATGCAGGGTTATACATGTACAGTCATTCTCACGGTGGTCTCTACTACATTTTGGCTCAAGGAGAAAAGAAGCCCGCGGAACTCCCGCTAGGTTGTTTCGTTTGGGTTTCTTTGCCACTTAGCCTTTGGACCTGTTTTCATTGGGTTATCAGCCGTACTGGCTTTCCCCCTACATACTTTCCCTTTCCATATATTCACATTTTACCCTCGCCCGCGCGGTGCCATTTCTGAAGTCTTCAGCCGATCCTTTGGTATTTGAGTTTTCTCGATACGCTTGGTCGATCGCGTCGACGAGTGAATGCACACGAGGCGTCCGAGACCGAGGGGCGGCAAGAGTGCGAAGCGTCAGAAGCGTCGGAATCAATTCGCACAGGGCTTTAGCGATCAGTTGGAGAACATCTTGAGTACCGCGGACGCGACTCAAACTTCTTCTGATCTTGGAGCGCCGCCGCAGATTCATTCGTCATCTTCGAGTTCCGGGGTTGTTGCTGTGCCTAAGCCGAGCGCTAGTGCTAAGTATCAACCAGCGAAACCTTCTCAGAAAGTGGGTCCTTCTTCATCGGTGCGATTGGTTGATTTTCCCGACAGTGCCTTTGTTGAAGAGATTTCATCGGAAGAGGAGGTTTCAGTGAGCAAGGAGGTGATCGAAGCTGGTGGGACGGAGAGTGACTACATCTCAGTGAGGCGGCTGAGCGAAGTGTCACGTGGTGTTGATCAAGCAGTTTTCGACTTGCCGAGGTGGGTTTCCGGAAGCGTGATTGTGAATAAAGTTGCATTTCGGGACGAGCGGGGCGAATTCTATCTTGATTCGGCGAGCGATTTGTTTGAGTCCTTGAAAGGTTGCGTGGTTCTTGACCTGTATAAGACGGTGATTTTTCCGGAGCGACTTTCATCGAGAGATTCAATCAGACTTGCAAAACACCGGGGCGAATTCCAGACGATCGAACGGGGGACGCTGTCGTTTATCTTTGAGCTTCAGAGGAACGGGTTCACTTTTTGCGCGTGTTCTTTCATCGGAAAGGCGGCAAGTGGTGAGTACATTGAGGCTTTGATTCAGAGCGAATTGGCAGCAGTCATTCCTGTGATCTTTGTTATTTACAATCGCGATCAGAAGGCCAGTCTTGCAAAAGAGCTCAGTGCGGTAGCTGCGATTGACGATCAGAGAGAGGTTGTTCGGCAGTACCGGGATTCTGGTATCTTTGCGATTGAAGTCAGGCGCGATTTTGGAATTGCAACTCAGAGGAGATCATTCGGCAGTTGCGTGATCAAGCTGGTGGTCAAGTGGATCGTGAGGTGAAGCCAAAAGGAGTCCCATCGGGTTTGGTGAAGGATCACAAGTGAAAGGGATTGCAGGTGGAAGGGGTGCGTGAGTAAGAGATCATACAAAAGACACAATGTCAACAAATCAGACATCCAGTGGTTCGAGCGAATTGCATTTGGCAGTTGCAACAGTCGACCAATCCATGGTGAGTTCGGTTGGGGATGCATCTCAATCAACTAGACACCGTGACCTGGTTCCAAGAGCTAGGGATGATCACAGGGTAGCAAACCGCAGGTCGAGGTCCTTAGGTCCGTATCAAGCCTCGGATGGTGCCAGTGATGTGTCAGGATTGGAAGCTGGTAGATTAGTCCCTTTTGATTTGGATGAGGAAGAACATCGATTGAGCAGGGTAGGTAGGGTCCAAGATTTTGCCAATCCCAGTCAAGGTCAAGGTCAGAGGGTTTTGCATGCGCAGAGTGCAACCTTTGTTGATGCTAGGTCAGTCGATGCCAGATCCATTCAAGTAGGAATTAGTCCAGAAGCAGCCCAACAGTTTGCCGATACAGTTCGTAGTGCCACAATTGCAGAAGCAGAGTCAAGACATCACCAAGTAGTTGATGAAGTTCGGAGGGTTTCCAGTCAAGCAGCTAGGAATGAAGCTATTGTTGAAGCTGAATCACGCCATCAACATGTAGTCCAAGACATGGCCAGAGCATCCAGGGAACATGTCCAAGATGTTAGTGCCCGTGTTGCTAGTGACGTAAGAAGCCAAACTTTAGCAGAGGCAGAAACCATTCACCAGAGGGTGTTGGCTGAAACCATCCAAAATGCAGAAAGGGTTCATGCCCAATCGGTTGAAGATGCTAGGAACCAAGTTCAACGCAGGGATGAGTCAGTTATCCTTGAATTGCAGAATCAGGTCGCGCATCTCACTCGTCTCAATCAGGAACTCGTGGGAAGATTGCAAGCGGCAGAGAGCAGCGGTTCATTCCGCGCCCTGCCCGCAAGCGGAGGTCAGGTTGGAGCAAATCCAGGGTTGGGACCAGCAGTGCAGAAACCACCAACACATCAGCATGACGAATCTTTTGATTTGTTCGGTGATGATGAGCCGGCCAATGCACAATCTGAATCCCATGGTTCTATCAATCAAGTTTTAGCTGTTCTTCAGGAGGAAGTCCAGACCTTGAGAGAAGAGATGAGTAAGAGTAAGAAAGGAAAGAGTAAGAGGAAGTCTACTCCATCCAGCGTGTCTGCAAGTTCATCTTCATCATCGGATCATGACCCCGAGTATGAGAACGAAAGAAAATTAATGCGGTTGAAGGCTTACGAGAAAATCAAAGTCCCCAATCTACCGAAGTCAGCTGCAGAGATGAGGACATGGAAAAATACACTGATTTCTCAACTGGTTGCATGTTGCAGAAGCAGCGAGAAAGAGTTGCTAGCATGGCTCAGTGGCCCTCTAGTCGGTGAAGAAAAAGAATCAGATGTTTTTCCAGTTCTCAATCGGGTCTTAGGATCTAAGTTGCTAGAGGTTGCAAAAGGTGGACGGTTTGGGGTTGATTTCCAAGCTCTTCAGGAGAGAAGTGTGCGTTTGGGATAGCAAGTGCAGGGTCATTTGTTGTTGGGTCGAATTTGCCGAAAGTTTCGTCTCGACAAAGAGCGTGGAATGAGTCTGAGTCAGCAACATCTACTGGCGTTGAAGCCCCAGGGTGTGGAGATCAAGGATTTGGAAGTCTTCAGGGATCGGGTTGAATTCGTGCTGTCAAGCCTCGAAACTTCGGAGTATCCTAGTGAAGCAATCCTTAGGACTTGGATTTACGAATGCTTAAAGAATGTCCCAAAGCTAGCGTTGAAAATTGATCGGTACAAAGAAGCAAATGCTGGTGACCCTATCAGATCATTTCAATGGTTATGGCAATCCATGATTGACTGCATTGATGAATCACAGCATGATCATAATACCGCATCAATCCTGAATGCTCTTCGCTCTAAAGTCGATGCAGCAGCCGCTTCCGCAGAGCAAGACAAAAAGAAAGATAAGAAAGTCAAGAAAGAGAAATCAGATTCGTCCAAAGAAAAGACAAGTGTTGATGTTGCAGCTGCCTCGTCTTCAAAGGCTCCGCCCAAGGCAAAAGCCAATCCTAAACCCAAGTCTTCATCCTCAAGCCAAGCTAGTGGTAAGAAGGGGGATAAGGATAAGAAAGACGTGGTTGCGGGTGAGAAAGGTACACCATGCCTGTTTTACCCAAGTGGCACTTGCAGGAGGGACCCATGCCCATTCGTGCATGACCCAGCCGCCAAAGCTAAGTCAAAGGCCAAGCCTAAAGCTAGTTCAAGTGTCGCTGCCGCATTTGCAGTTGCTGCAGGAAACCTGCCATCAGCCGCCTCAGCAGTTGTCCCAAGGATCGTTAAAGCTGTTGTGACGTCTTTTGCATTGATGTGTAATCCCGGCATTCCAACTCCTGACAATCAGGCCCAGTCATTGCCAATGCAATCGTGCGAGGTGCCGTTTACCAGCTTCAATGCATCAACCGGAGAAGTGACTTGGTTGGGTGACACCGGTGCTGGCCGCAACATTGGGGGGGTTAGCCAAGTTGATCCTGAAATGATTGGACAATCCAATTTGCCAGTTACTTTCTCAACAGGTGGTGGGCGAAGAGATGGATCTAATTCTTGTAGAGTGGTTGGTGAACTTTCTGGGTCAAATGAGTGCTACTTGCTGGAAAACAGTCCATGGGCTTTGTCCATAGGTGATCAAGTTCGGCAAGGGAAAGCATTCGTTTGGTTGCCACGTGATAGCCATGATGTTTCTGAGGACGCTGAGCTGCCAAAGCCATTCCTGGTGAAGCCCAGTAACCTTAAGGACTTAAAGGTAAGTTGCCCAGAAGCATCCCGCTTTTACGCCAGTGAAGTTCGAGAAAACGTCCCATTGTTCAAAGAAAGGGTGAGTATTCTGCATATGCCCGGGGAGGTTGATGAAAAGAATGATTTAGGTGATTCGTCAAAAGCCTTAGATGAAGAGTCTGATGGGTATGAGCCAAGCTTAGCACCAGAAGGCGCAGCAGCGCCGCCAGACGAAGAGGCTGTGGAGCATTCGTCGAATCATTCCATTTTACATCTTCCCAAGAGAGCGGATTGCCCCATTTGTCAAGAAGCAAAGCAAGATGCTGTTCCTGCTAGGCGTGTTAAAGGTGATCGAGTATTAACCGATAGCAAACCTAGTAAAAGCTTTGGGGATAGGATCCATGCAGACCACATCATCGTTGCTAAACATCGGTTGGATGGTTCTAAGAAAGGGCTGAAAGGAGAAACGAAATGCCTGGTTTTGCTTGATGATTTCACTAAAATCGTAATGGCGTATCCAGCAGCTACCAAAAGCACAGAAGAGTGTGTCAAGGCACTCAAGCATTTTGGTGGTAAACGTCCATTGGTGGAATTTCATGCAGATAATACTCCTGAGTATGAGTCGACAGCAAGTCAACTAGGTCTCGTGTATGATGCAACCGTCCCGTACAGGAAAACCGCCATCATCAATCGAGCCATTCGCACTCTCGAGGATGTCACCCGGTGTTGTTTAGTACAAGTAGGCAACTTCAATGAATTATGGCCGTTGGCGATTCGTTATGCAGCTTCGGCCTCAACCATTAGCAATTGGGACAAACTCCATGATCATGAATTTCCAGGCCTTCACATTCCTTTTGGTGCGTTGATCAGTTACAAACCCAATGCCCCTAAATCCAAACTTGGTGCCAAAACATCAGCCGGTTTGTTCCTTGGTTGGAGAATTGAGGCAGGGACCCAATGGAAGCGCACATATTTGGTTTGTGATGTTCAGAATGTGAAATCATGGTTGGAAGGAAAATCTGGTCTTCAAGTTCTCACTTCAATGGTTGTTGTGCAAACGGGTGAAGATAAATTTCCCTTGCGTGAAGCCGTGCAAAAGAAGCTAGAATCCTTGGAGGATTTACCTGTACTGCGTTTGGAGGACGATGTTAGGGCATTGGAAGAAGAGGTGAGTCGCGAGGAAGTTGAACCAGAATTAGACGACATCTTTGCAGACGATCCTTTGGATGAACCAAAAGTCCATTCCAAACATGAAGCCACTACTTTCTCCAGACTAATGCAATATGGTTTCAGTCCAGGTTGTTCAGCTTGTGAAAAGGGAAAGGGAATCCATACATCCAGTTGCAGAGAAAGATTTGATGGGTTAATCAGGGGGGGTAAGTTTACACTTCCCAAGGGCATTGCAAAAGGTGTTGATTCTTGGAAGCTTGAAGGTGACCTGCTTACTCGATTCCACCATGTGAAACGCAAGAAGCTCTTTAATCCCTTATTGCCTGAAGATCTTCCAGTAAGTGCAAAAAGACTTGGAGCTAGAACCACCGAAGTTAAGTACTTTGAAAGCGGTGTCGAGGAAACAATCCATGATGAGCATTGGAGAGGTAACAACAAATCACTCAAGGAATTTTGGACAGGTCAGACAATCTTTCAGCTGCATCCCGAGGCATCGGACGTTCCTGCCGGAGCAGTCGAAGCAAAGGATGGTGAGCTGCAGGCTTCGCCGCGCCCCATCCAGTGTGGTAAGAAAGGGAAAAGACTTGCCCAAAAGTTGTTGCCAGCATTTGGTGTTATGATAGAGTTTTGTTGTAGCCCACAATCTAATCTTGGAAAGGTTTCAGAGTCCGTAGGAGTAAAGCACATCCGTTTGACAGAAAGCAACGGAAAGGTTTCAGAGCTTGAAGTGCAATCTCAGCTATTGGAAGTGTTGGATTCGGATGCCATGAACGGTGTTGACCTTTGGGGATCACTACCATGCAACCCTTGGTCTAGATGGCAACACGTGAATTGCAAGAAGTTAGGTCCAGCATTCCGTAGGAAGCTAATGTTGAAAAGGTTGGAAAGCAAGAAACTCTTGAAATTTTTCTTCCAGTTGTCCGCAATAATCCTCAGGCGTGGTGGCAGGGTTCACTTCGAATGGCCAACAGGGTGTTCCGGCTGGCAGATTCCAGAGCTTCAGGATTTCTTCAACTCAAACAACTTTCAGCTTGCGCATTTCAATGGTTGCATGGTTGGAGGCGAATCGTTTAAGCCATGGACAGTAGCATCAACAGATGACTTAGTTCGCAGCCTGAGAACCAAAACATGTGACCATAGCCATAAACATGTGCACTTGTGCGGATCAAAGACACCAAAATCAGCATTCTATCCAATGCAAATGTGCGAAGGTATCATCTCATCATTGTTTCCCGAGTTGTATCACAAGTTCGTTCCTTGTATGAGTTGCGAGTCAATCACTGAAAATCCAGTGCATGTCCCAAAAGAAGTTGAGCTTGAGGGAATTCCCATTAGCATTCATGAGTTGATTGATAGGAAGGTCTGGAAGGACGACCCTGCAGCACTCAGTGAAGCTAAGAAGGAAGCTCAAGGTTTGATAGATGCGGGGACATGGGATTACAAGAATGTTGTCCAGAGGCACGAGCTCGAACACAGATCCAGGAAGTCAGGAACGAAGATTGCGATTGGGAAACTCATGACAATTATGAGTTGGAAGAATGCAGAATCAGAAAAAGACAAGAAACTAAAAGCTAGAATAGTTTTTCTTGGCAACAATGTGAGGGACGAGTTTGGTCTTGCAAGTGAATTTCAAGAAGTCAAAATCATTCCCACTACAATTGCCGGGCTTAACATAAATTTAGCCTTCGGACTGAAGAGAGGAAACAAAACGACTCAATCAGATGTTACCAAAGCTTATATCCAAAGTGATCTTCAAACAGAACATGACACGTACATCGAACTGCCAGATGAGTTGATTCCAGATCACCTCAAATGGATGCGCAGACCATGCACAAAGCTGCACAAATCCTTGTACGGGCACCCCGAGTCAGGGGGGCATTGGGGTTTGAAGTTCAAAAGCTTGATGACACAAATGAACGGTGTAGAGTCAGCATTATTTCCATCCAACTTTATCATCAAAAAGTGGGGCCTGTTGGTCACATTGTACGTTGATGACATTGTTGTGTCAGGTCCGAGTGAAAATCATCAATTTTTCTGGTCAGAGTTGGAGAAGCATCTTCAATTTGAACCTCCGCAGGAAGTCACAAAGGTTCTAGGAAGAACACACTTGATTCAGGAAGGGGAAGTGCAGCTAGACATGCATGACTTTGCAGAAGTCGCCTGCAAAGTGTACGAACAGGAATGCAAAGAGTTCAAAGGGTTCAGGAAGGCCCCAACCCCGTATCTTGATGAAAGTACACTTCCTATTGATGATTGGGATAGCCAAGGTAGTCTTGCGAGTTCAGCCGCCAGGCTAATCATGAAAGCCTATTGGTTAGCTAGACTTAGCCGTCCAGATTTGCTACATGCATTGAATGAACTCAGCAAACGTATTACCAAGTGGAGCAGAAATGACGACAGAAGGTTGTTCAGGGTGTTTTGCTATCTAAATGGAACAAAGCACTATAGGATGAGGTTGAAACTTGATCCAGATGCAGAATGGGGTCTGTGGTTATTCACGGATGCTGACCATGCCTCAAAGGTAGACCACGGATATTCCACATCAGGGTCATTGCTCGCCATCGCTGGTGGAGGTTCATTCTTTCCTATAACATTTCAGTCCAAACGTCAAACAGCTTGCAGCCGTTCGACAACTGAAGCGGAAGCCATTGCATTGGCTAGTGCATTGTTCAGTGATGCAATCCCTGCACAAGAGTTCATGTCGCAGTTGCTTGATTCACCAATTCCTTTGACATGCCATCAGGACAACACTGCCACTATACAGGTGATCAGAAACGGATACAGTGCTCGCCTAAGACATCTTGGTAAAACACACAAGATAAATGTTCAAGGGTTGTATGATGCTTTCAAAGAACCAGACATAAGCATTCAGCACTGTCCTACAGAACAACAGGCAGCAGACGTGTTCACTAAGAGCCTGGAAGTTCATAAGTGGCAATCGGCCTTAGACATGATAGGAATTTTTGACCCAAGCAAAAGTTGAAATCGCAACAAATGTCAGAAATCGCAACAATTGCCAGAAATAGATCCGACCCTTGTTGAGCCGACCTTGATTAGTTCAGGTGTTGCTTGGCCATTTTGGCCGCTCCTTGGTAGGAACCAAAGCTGCAAGCAGAGGTGCCGTTCGTTGCCCTTGCAGTGTGCTGCTGGCTTTGCCGCGCCCTGTAAGTGTATCTTTCGTGCCTTTGTAAATTAGGTTGGAATATGAGATCAGTTCTCACAAATGAGAAAGTACTGTCACCCTTGTGCGACTGGAGAAGCGGCCAATGCACCCCGAGATACATGGCCAAACTCTTTGTACACAAGCCTTGCGTGCATAGTCCATATCATAATTTGTTTTCGCAGCAACCTAGCCTGACTTGCCTTTCCACGATGACTGATCGTCACTTTCGATGGCCACGATGAGTGCTTGATCCAAACTTTCGATGGAGTGCCAAGTTTGTGTGGACACCACCCTTTCGAAGGAGGGGGGCACAGAAATAATCCAGCTCAAATGCAGGGTTATACATGTACAGTCATTCTCACGGTGGTCCCTACTACATTTTGGCTCAAGGAGAAAAGAAGCCCGCGGAGCTCCCGCTAGGTTGTTTCGTTTGAGTTTCTTTGCCACTTAGCCTTTGGACCTGTTTTCATTGGAGGAAGCATCCAAATAGGGGATATCGAAGTCAGCCCATTGTTGGAAAGTTTGAAAGAAGCTTGATACTGTATGACATGATATTCCCTTCGATCAAAAGTGAAACTAGAGCAGGGAGGTCATATCAAACATGTCCCAGGCCAGCACGCACACATCCATTGGTGGAGACATATATGGTTTGTTTGTTAGGCATGCTGTTTGTAATCAAGATGGAAACATTTTGCCAAGGCTACGTGACCTCAAAGGCCTGGTTGGCGGCGGTTGGAGCCAGCGTCGGTTCGTCGGAGTTGGATGAAGTCACTTCAAGACGTGTTACCTTCCCTCCAACAATCATGGAAGTGCACTAAGGCCGCTCAGACATATGAAAGGGATGTGGGCCAGCATGGGGCCTCCATGGGGCCATCAGGACAGTTTGTGATAAGAATATTAGCTTTGTTGTTTTACTTGATAACTTGCTTGTTGTTTTGGGTCAGGGCTGGATTTGAGTGTTTTACTTGGGTTCTGATAATGTTTTTTTTCAACAGTTTCTGATAACTGTTGAATTATGAAGGTTGCCTTGAGAAATGTGTAGACTCAAAATGAACAGGACACACTTATGTACCTCTTTATAAGTTTGCGTATGTTTGTCCCAGGAAGTTGTGTGTGAATAGCGCACGGTGAGTACATGAAAACAATCCGAACTGAACCAAACCCAACCTTGCGGAATCAACAAACTCGTGATCCAAATCTGGTGAATACCTGGTGATGTCACAAAGTTGTCACAAATTCACCAAGGCTACATTTCACTCACCACACATGTTTGAATGTGTGTTTTGGCGCCTGCACTCAGTTGCATAACAAGTGTTCAGGTTTCCCAACCCCAACACACCAATCAAAACACTTTTTCATGATCAGATTTATATATGAAACCGTGTGCCCCCGTCAAATTAAACAAGTTAACATCGCATGATATTTGTCGGGATTGTGGTTCCCCTGATAGTTTGAAAGAGAGTCTTAGCAATGGTCATTGGGATTGGAGAAGTGGCCGGGTTTGGTGTCGCACCACCTTCAACCAAAACGAACATAGGGCAGCACCTGGAACGGCTGGGCGCCGAGCTTTTCAGCCTCGGGCTGCTTGGACTAGGGGTTGGGCACTGTCCAGCTTTTGAGGCCTCAAACGTCCATGCCTCCGCCAGCTCTCCGTTCCTGACAGGTGATTTGCACGCCTCGGATCGAGCACTGCTCTTTGAGGCCTTGGCTTCCCAGGCCATTGTCTCGCCGGCGCTGGCCAACTATGAACAGGCGGACTTCCGGGGAAGGAACGTAAGGTTGTTTTCCTCAAGGAAAGGGGTACCTTCGGGCCAAAGCTCCAATCTTCAAAAATATACAGCTGTTATCCTTCCAAGAGTCCAAGACGCTTCTCCAGAAAAGCCATGAAAAGCCCTGTCTGAACATTGCAAAAGAGGTTGAAGAACCCTAGTCTATATCGACCATCTCATCGGTACCCCAGGTACCTCAAAGGGCTGAGAGGCAGCTGTTTCGACCGCAGGTTTGGAGAGGCTGGGAAGAGATCTGGCACCTTGGATGGATGGGTAGGGTATCCAGAAGTGCCCTTCAGATCGAAGGGAAATGAACCACCTAAGGGCTTCCAGTGCGGCTTCCATAGGCAGGGCATTTTGCGGGGGCATGATGGCATAGGTGATAGCGCTCACAGTCCTAACATGTCCTAACAAATGGGTGATTGGGATCTTAAGGGGAGATACTGATACTGTTGCGCAAGATCAATCGATCGAGACCAGCTACATTCAGCTTATTTTTTTTTCAGACTGGTGCAGTTTGGTGTGTTTGGTGCATGAGGGATGTTCACATGTGTTTGCCTCCAGGGAGTGAGTCTTTGGATCCATTCCTTCATTCCACTCTAATGAATGTACCAGTTCATATTGGATCCGATCAAACCCCAATGGCCAAAGAAACGACCGTGGGACCGAACAATGCCGGTCAACGTCCGAGAGCTAGCGAGACGCACCGAGCCGCTCGATTCGCAGGACTCGCTCGACGTGTTTGACGCCCCACGCGCGGTGTGTGTGTGTGTGTATGTTGTGGAGCCTCATGGCATGGCATCATGGCATCTCATGGCTCGGTTTGGGTTTGGCTCATGGTGTGTGCCAGGACAAGAATTGTTGCACTCTCCGGAAGCCGACGGTGTTGGGTTGCTGGATGTTGGGACCCGAGGCTCTCGAAGATGCAGATGCCCAGGCGAAGGGCGCTGAGTTGAAGTTGAAGTTGAAGATTGTTCCCCACCTGTCAGGTGAGGGTTGTTAGATGTTCTTAGATTTTTACTGTACAGATAGCCTTCTCCTTCTCCTCCTGGAGATGTTGCCTCCTTTCACTTCGTCCAAGCGATATGGGCCACACGTTTTCCACCAGACACCAGGGTCCTTGGGATGACGCCTGCGGCTGGGTCCGACATCGGCACAGGCCCACTAATTAGGATAATTAGGAGGGTATGAGGATGTATGAGGTGAAACTGTTGGTGTGCTGCATAGGACCGCGTCCAAGAAGTGGATTTGGGCCACTTGCTGGTGGTTTTCGAGCTACGTACAGTGCATCGGTGTATCCATGTTGGAGATATGATGACATGTTGTGATCGATTGAATCGAATTCACTAGATGTGACTAGCTGGTTTCGCTGCAGCTCGATTCTTCTTTCCGTGAATCGATGTGCACGCGTTCGTGGTTTCATGCGTTCGTGGCATGCCGCCTGGCGTGTATTGCATGTATTGCGTGTGCAGGTCCACGCATTTCGCCGATCTAGCTGAACTTCTGCCAGAGATGGGTGAAGAAGCCTGGATCAACGGTCGTGTTTCGCGGGAGGCCACCCGTTCCGTCGGAATCCACCGAGCCGTTGGTGCCAAGATGGGACTCATGGCAGACACTCCATAAGCTCCGATGGCCCAGGCCCAGGCTTTTCCACTCCCTGACGTAAACCATGCAAGTGGAAAACCATGGGAAATCCACCTGGTTTGCAGAAGATAATGGTCCAAGGGCTCATGCTCATTCATTTTCCGATGTTTATTTCAGTGTACTGACAATGGCACCACTACTGTTTCTATCATAGTTGGAGACCAGGTGACTTCCTGGTAGGGAAGATGGTGCGGGTTGTGTTCCTTCTATTTTTGGTGGTGTGTGCCACAGGACTTGCTGCAGGTGACTTGCTTCTATATCCTTTGGATGCCCTGCAGGTTGATTGACGGGTCTAAACGGCAAGATGGTTTGCCCATGACTCCTTTTGTACATTGTGAGCGAGGGTCGCTGACCCGGTTGCCCTTGTAATGTTGGATCCTGATTAGTAAATAGGCCCCCCCCCCCCCCCCCCCCCCCCCCCAAACAAACAGGAGGTCCTCTATAATAAACTATCACCAAAACAAATCTGGATTCAGCTAATGAATCATAATGAATCATAATCAGCTAATGGCCTAATGAATCATAATCATTGGCCTCAGGAGCTAAGTAAAGGGAGATTCCATGCGCATTTTTTCCAGTGGAAAAAAACTTTTCACAATTGAGGACCCAAACAACAAATTTACTATTGAGGATCAGGTGCCTTCCTGGTCTACTACCTTGAAAATTTGTTTAGGAGCAATGTTTTATAAAGGGTTTAATTGGGGATTGGTGGTTTTGGTCAGCTGTCAGTTTTGAAGAAACCTAGAGAAAGCTATATCAGCTAATGAATCATAATCATTGGCCTCAGAAGGAATTCAAACCCTTATTAAATAGGTTTCCAATATAAAAAATTTAGGGCCCCCAAAAAAGTTAGCATTATTCAGGAACCATTTTTCAAACAGGGGGGTCTGAATAATTTTGGAAAAAATTAGCATTATAGAGGGCCCATTTACTAATCAGGATCCAACATTACCAACCTGCTGCTTGGGTGATGTGGCTGATGAGGAACCACCTGCACCCAAACACTCTAATATAAATAACCAAAAATAATATACAATAAATATAAAAACATGTTTATATAACATGTATATATATATATATATTCTTTAATAAAAACAATTTACAATATAACATTCTAATATCATTTTTATTGTGCAGCCTTAAATAGTAGTTGATGAATCCAACCCCCGAAGTCTGGAGATGTCACACCATTCTGCGGCAGGGAGGCAAATGTGTGGCTTCTTCATCAGGGGTCACCAGGGGTTTTGATCCCACGGCCACCCGGGGTGTTCCAGCTGTTTTGGATTCTTCTTTTCCGTTTGATGTCAGAGACCTTGGGCAAAACCGCTCTCAGAGACCTTCGTGACATGGTCGTAGGAGGCCTAGAAACCTGACCGAAGCTGTCAGCTGTAAGCTGTCAGCTGGTGGCCAAGTGAGTTTCAATCGTGTGGTTCGTGCGAGTCATTGGAGTGAGAACATTTAAGAAGATTACATGTTCCATCATGTTCCAGAACCTGCTGGCAGGGGGGTTGTGTTTAGCAGAACCCCCTGAATGCATGTTCCTTTGCGGCCTATGTTTTGTGTCACGGCCCCCAACAGATGCAACAGTTGGCCCAGCATTTGCACCGAGGAATGCACACAGGATGCCACAATCGGTCAGAGCCCGAGCGCATATCCGGATGAGACAGACCTCGCCCCAGCTTGGGGTTTTCGATGCTATGCGAGTCCCAGATCCGCGGGGTGTTGGCCGACCAGGAAGCTTATTGAGAGTACGCTTGGTGGACCCCCCCCAAAACATAGAACACAAACATATACAGATTGTACTCCCGAACTCGTGGCTCCAAGTCCCAAGACCGTTTTGAGCCGTCGTACTACTTTCAACCACCACTGTGGATTTGAGCCAAGAGTCCTGACGTGGATGGAAGAGTTGCGAAGGGAGGCCTTTGAAGGTGGCTTCTTCAACTGAAAGCCCAGGTTGCATGTGTGTGTAGATTGCATGTGCATATCATATATGTGCATAATAGGTGATTGCTTTTGGCCTTTGACAGCTGTTAATGGTATAATCTTCAGTATAAGTTCAAGGTTCATGCGAATATAGGGCATGCCTGTGTGAGAAGTGGATTCCGTAAAGCCATGTGATTCCACATTGACCAGCACGAAGTAAGCAAAGGGACGCGACACAATGTTAAACATTTATGAGTGTCTTACTACCACGTGCATTGAACTACTCAAGATGAATGCACATCAACTTCAGGAATCACGTTGTACGCTTCGTAGCAGGGTTGGTGCACACTGCCCCACTCTTTGCACTCGTCACAAGGTCAAAGTCCCTGGAGTGCTCCAGTGCTCTTTGTGGAGAAGAAGATCATCCTGGATCTTCTGCCTACTGCACGTCACCCCGCCTCTGGCACCACGCGAGGCGACGTGCAGTTGAAGCACAACACCTGGGCGGAGTCCGGCTATACAGTGCTCGTCATTCCGGACAAGCAGTGGGTCAAGGCTGCAGCTGAGGGTGAAGAAGGCAAATCCAAATCGAAGTGGATCAAAGGCAAAGTGGAACAACTTCACAAGCAATTCTACATCCAGAATGCTGGAGTGCAAGACTCAGAGGTTCAGACACTTTTAATGTCCTTGAAACTGGGCAAGACTGGCATCAACACTGATGCCCTCAACCGGCTCACAGCGTTGCCGGTGGCCAACCAGTCACTTGGTCAGCAAAAGGCTTCGCAAAGGCCACGAGTGGTTATGTTCATTTTGCAGGTTCATACAAATGTGCATCAGACATACCAACACCCCAGCACCTCTGCAAGGGAGGGCCCTCCGGTGGCGGATGATCCGGTGGGATGCGCATGGATCGATCCATCCATCGGTCAACCAGGGTGCCTCCCAGTTTGGACCCTAGTTTGCCAGTTGATCGGTGAAGCAAAAAGATCCAGAAGAGGAAAGATCTTGTAGGCCCTATGAGTGGTAGAACCATCCTGAAGTACATAGAATCTTGCTGCAACTCATAACTAATATACACATATGGGATGGGCCGATAACTCATAACTCATAATGCATGGCATAACTCATATACACATATATACACATATACATGCTGTTTGATGTCCCCCTCTTGGATCCCCACAAATTCATGGATGTCGTCGGCGGGTGGCACGGAGTCGAAATCTGGCTCAACGAGTTGACCAGATAGTTTTAGTGGTGGTTACTGATCAACAACGTTTGGAAAGGTGCTGGACCTCCCAAGACAAACCATCAATGCCAGACAGATTGCTTGAATCACATATACTTGGGCTGTGTGTATGTTTCATCCTACAGTCTACAGGCTTTTTCTTGTCCACAGTCTGGGTATCATGTATCACCATGCATCAGCCGCGCTGGGGTTTATCCTAGATCGCTCTCTTCGAACCCCTCTGCGCGTAGGTATGCGCGCGCCCCAAATCGGATGCACGGCCTTCGCACCGACCGCAGAGATCACCAAGGAAGAGAGCGCTGCAGAAGTTCAGGAATACACGCAGGGATTGGGTGTCGCTTGGCGCGTTTTGACACATGTTATCGCCCGCAGGTGATATGGGGTGTCGGACCAAGAGGACTGTTAGAGGGACCAAATGGGACGGAGGACGGACGCAGGACGCAGGCGCAAAAGAATCAATATGATATATGATGAATCTACGGTGCAGAGGTGTACAGAGAATAGAAACCTGTTCCAGGCCCCACAAGGGGTTGGTTCCTGGACACCCCTTGGTAGAGCCTGAAAAACATCGATCCTCTATAGTCTCCGAAGGGACTCACAGAACCGCACGGGACCAATTGGATGACAGCTTGGCAATTCTACCTTTGGGAGGCTTCAGAACCAGAAACTGCGAAGCACTTGACCACGTGATACCACGTGTCTATGTGTTGTCTTCATCCTCTCCCAAGCCTCCCAAGCCCGGGTTCATTTGGGTGGATCTTTTCAGGAAGAACGACAGCGCATGGCTCATTGGCATCATCAAGGACCAGCGTGGCGCTGTAGTCGGTCAGACCGCATTCACCCAAGCCATAGTAGCCCGAGCAGGTGGATGGCCAGTTTGGGGATCCTTTTGGCCGGGTCCCACCGGAAGTGGTGGGAAAATGTTCACACTCCTTCACATTGGAATTGAAAAAGCTCTTCATATAGGGGGTTATGAATCAAGAGTCTGCATGTGTTTGCATATATAATATACAATAAATTATATATGACTACAGTTGATATACAGTAGTTAGTGGCCCTGACACATTTCACACACGAGAAAGTCACAAATTGCAATCCTCTTTGTATTGTAGCTTAAGATTAATCCAAGAACTGGAAGCTCTACAAGTTCGAGCAAGATTTGTGCACTGGCCAAGTTCGACCAATTGATTTCCTTTGTGTCCAACAACATTATTTGGTAGAACATTGGCCTTTTGCATGCATTTCTTCCTTTTCAGCTTCAACCTGGGCTCCAATTTGTTGTGTTTTCTTTGTGTTCGCTTTGTGCTTTCACGAGGCTATTTTTGCGTTTCTCCCGCATCGCCAGGAGGAGCAGTCCAAGCCAGCCGAGTCTGAACAGACGGATCCGGAAGCTGCTCAGACAGCCATGGTGTCGCGACCCAAAGAGGGCTGGAACCGGGAAGGCCGCAGCCTACAACAGGTGCCTGGGACGCGAGCAAGGCGAAGGCGGTCAGAAAGTCTCCCATGTTCCTAGCGATTTGATGCTCCGATGTCTCTCACTGTTCGATTTGGCCTAGACTCCTAGACGTGCCTGGGGAACCAACATGTGTGTCATCAGCAGCAGCATCGCCATCCGGTGACGCTTTCCAATGTGAGGTGTTTGTTCTTTTGGGTGCAACCGATGCTCCCGGAGCAACCGCGCTCTGTGGGATTCTGGTGTGTTTTCCGCTCCCGAGAGAATTTCCAGAAGGGCCGCTCCCCCTAACTAAATGGGTCGGACGTGTCTAGACGAAGGCTTAAAACAACATAGCAAGTTTATTGTTTATTT